TCGACCGGTGGCTGGAAGACAATAAGATGAATGAGTATGACAAATCAGAACAGATGGCAACATCATCGTCATCGTCATCATCGTGCAGCAAACTTCGCTGATGGTTGCCAAAACTCGCAATCCACATAAAGTAAATGAAAATGTGTAAAAAAAGATAGGAATTGGGCCTATTTCGGGGGAGGGCGGCGGGCAGTGAACCTCCATGAGCAACCACAGAGTACACAATCCAACTATGCATACACACTATTTCAAGCATTTTGGTCTGATAAGATATGACAACAAGAACGTCACTGCTGTCGGGTTTCTACCATGATTTTCAGTGTCTCCAACGATCCAGTTAAGGAGTCTTTTGAACCCCGACCCAGAAGACGAGACGGGTGACAAAAATTACTATATATCACTAGTATATCACTAGAAATGATCAAGTCATTCAGAGCGGTATTACAGAGAAACGGGAAATTGTCAGAACATCACCTGAAGCTCCTTCAGACTTTTCGGCAGAAACCTGTTCACTGTATTCTTTGATCTTATTCATTCGTAGAGGTTCCAGGTCCGCCAGAAATGGTTCGATATTTTTGGCCCCAACCACGCGCATAGCCGTCCCAAGTGCGGCGAAACTGTGCTCTCGAACGTCCACGACCGTGTCCACAGATGTTGTGCACAAGGCGGTGGTAAACGTTTTCAAGAGTTTCTTTGTCAATGTGGCCTGGTTGCACCGAGCGAAAACTCGGCTGAGAAACAATGCAGTCTCGGACCGAACACCGGGTGATTTATTCCCCAATGCAGCGATTACATCATCAGCCATTACGTCCAGTGTGGTCTTCAAAGGGAAGGAGTGCAAATCAACGAAAACGAAGATGTAATTAGAGTGGGAGCAGAAAAATTACTATTTCAATATCATACTTGAATAACTATTGCATCGCAAAAAAAACCACGTATTGCATGAATGCGTGTGCCAGGTTGTCCACTCAGAGCAAAGCAATACTAAGGCGAAGAATAGCTAGAGAAAAAGACAAGTCGCTGTTTCGAGTTCA